CCTCCCCTGCTCACAACCTAATCCAAGACACCATATTACCTTAAACCACTGCCAATAGTCTACTGGATTGATAGTCCTGATTCTATTTTGGTCCCGTACCTCCCAAACAGAAGATTCTCAATAAAAGAGCCAGAATAATTATTTTTGTAACAAAAGTAATACCATATCTCTCCATGCGACTTCCCAACCTCATCTTCCTCACTTTTTCTTCCATTACTTTACAGCTTATGTGCTGACCTCAATCCTTTACCTAACTCATGGCTTTACCTCTCAGAGCTTCCATCTCTTTCAAGCCCTCTTCTCTAACACATACCCATGCTTCATTCCATCACTTAAGTAGATCTGTACTCAAATGTATCTTCTCCATGCAAACAAATATACCTTGTGATTCACTACCTGATAGCTACCAACTGCCCCAAGAGGGCAGAAATCTTGTCTACTGGTCACTGTTCTAGCTTTTAAGTTTGAACACTGTCAGGCACATAGAAGACACACAATAAATAACCGCTGAATGACTTCTTCCTGGCTTTGAGATGATGTAATGCAAGTAGAAAGCACAAGTAGTATTAAAATTTTGCTTAAGTCACCACAAAGGTAAAGAACAAAAACAAATGCAAAGGCCTATTTCTCTGCTCTATCTAAACATTGAGAGGTCCTGAAATCAGGAGTTGGATAGAGTAGGTTGGCTAGAAATTTACCAAACTATTTGTTGGGTTTTTAAAAAACTAAATAGGTTGGGACAGCCTTCCCTGTCTAATGCCTCAAGTAAGGAAAACCATCACAAGTAGCCCACTCCACTGATTACCAGTGGAGCTTTGTGTTATATCCCTTAGCTGAGCTAGGAAAAGAAACAAATGGCAGCCATGGTCACTTGATTAAGCCACAAGATCATTCAATAGTCAATCCTAATAAGTCTGTAATCACTTTGCCTGATTCTAATATCTTATGAAGGAAAATTAGCATAATACAATGCAATTCAGTCATACAATTAACCTATTCAAAATTAAAAAAATCATCATAATAAAGTCAGAAACAACTTTAGGGATGAAACAATAGGCTTAACAACCAGAGGATCACAGGGCTGAAAATATCTAAAAAAAAAAAAAAAATTGGCTGTTAAATGAATGTTATCACTACAAATCTCACAGATTCTAATAAAATAAAATGAGAGTTTACTGTTATCCAGAGTCATGGGACCCAAGTCCCACAGTTGAACTATGTCACAGGATTATATTCAGAAACATATGAAAACATGTTTTTGGTGGTCTCAACAACTGAGTGGCACTAGTGGACAGGAAAGGTGATTTATGACCCCCTACAATGATATCTATGGTAGAAATCTCAAGTAAAATTTTAACTCCAACTCTCTATAATCAATTGGCTCCCCATATGGTGCCTGGCACTACAGATGATTTAAAAAAAAAAAAAATGTTCCTGCCCTCAATTTAGTATGCAGAAACAGCTAAAGTATCCATATGCATAACATGCTAAAATAATTAGTTCAAGCTACAGATATTACAGAAATCCACCTTTGCCTAATATAAAACATAGTCATGAGAAATAAGTTGCCATTCAAATCAAGCAAAATCATTCTTTAATAATGAGATATTAACTTCAGCAAGTATTCATAAAGACAAAATATTCTTCTTTGACTATTCCCCCACAACCACACAGAAGAGGAAGTGGTTTAGAGAAAATATGCTTGTTTACATATTACTCCATCTCACAATATAGAGCAGATTGCAAAAGGTTGAAGGTCAAGACTCCTACTTTATTGTTCTAGCCTGATTGCTTAGCCCTCAATAAAAGTGTGAAATTGGTCATCTGGTATCCCTCTCATCTACCATCACCTGCCTTATCATGTGGCAACATTATCCCCTCACAGGAAGTTCAGTTCCCTCAATCTGATCATGTCTTTTTAACTGTGGTCACCCACAGGTCTGACCTTCTCTCTCCCCATGTTCTCTACCTTGACCACTACTCCTACTCCTTCCCCATGCACCCTCTTTCATTATTCCACAGACTTATATTGCTAAATTAGCCAGTAGTTGTGATGTGTTCACAAACCATCTCTGAAGGAGCCCATCTAATCCTCACAGCTGCTTTAGAAGAAAACCTCATGCCCAAGGTCACACCACAAAGAAACAGTGGAGCCAGAATTCTAAGATGTGGATTCTACAACCTGTGCTATTACCTGTAATGCCTCCTAATAGCTACACAACTGACTTCATAGAAGAGAAAGATTAAATACATAACGGTTTGTATCTCCTTTGTCAAGCTATGTATAAGCACATGCTTTGTAAATGTCTCACAAGTTCAAATTACAACACCTTTTAGTTTCATTATGGGAGTATGTGTCCAAATAAGTGATTAAAAATTGAAGCTGATATTAATTTACATGAATTTCCTGATATTTAAAAGACAATAACAAATTAATGGGAAACATCTCTGAAATTACTATATCAAGCAACGTTAACATTTAGTTTACTAAATTTTACTTTGCACATATCACTGCCAAGGGCAACTGAATTGAAACTACAGAACATCTGACATACTGCAATAATATGAAGACAAAAGTGAAGAATCAAATATGACAAAAATAAATATCCATCGCCCATGTAAGCTGTCAAGAGTGATGGTAAAAACTACTTCACTAGAAGAGAAAGTACTAATTTAAAAGTATACCTAACCATAATCTTAGAGGTTTAACTCTAAATGTGGTACAAAAGGAGTAGGGTTATGGAAACAACCCAAATCTCCACAGCAGAAGAGTAAACAAAATTAAAACACACACTGGAATATTAAATGAATGCAACTGGAGATCATTATGCTAAGTAAAATAAGCCAGACCCAGAAAGACAAATGCCATGTTTTCTCTTATTTGTGAAAGTAATATAGAGAGAGAATCTAAAAATGGTGTGGATGACATATTATTTGGCATTTCTAAATTTTCGCTTCACTGAATCATACCATGTAAGTGGAAATATACTCTTCTTTCTTCATGTTAAAAAAAAATGGAGATGGAGGGATAGTAAGGACTCTTGAGTTACCAATATTTTGTTCTTTATTTGGGTGTTGATTTTAGGTGTGCTCAGAGGACAAAAAAACTCATTTATCATTATCATGCATTTCTTGGTATACATACCGTATTTCAGTAACATTGTTAAGTGAAAAATAAAAATATTCTATTAGGCCATAACAAAAAAGAAAAGGAAGAAAATCCTGTCATATGCTATGATTTGGAGGAATTCTGACAACATTATGCTAAGCTGAAACAAGCTAGTTACAAAAAAGGAAAATACCAAAGAATTCTATCAGGCACCTAAAGTACTTAAATTCACAGGCGCTAGAAGGGTAATGATCAGGGATGAACAGAGAGGTGGGTGTCAGTCAATAAGTAGAGAATTTCAGCTTCAGGGGCTGGCGCCATGGTATAGTAGGGATGCCTGAGACCCCAGCTGGAGTTCCAGCTCTTCTCATTTCCTATCCATCTGGGGAGTGAACCAGCAAATGGAAGACCTCTCTGTCTCTCCCTCTCTCTCTGTAACTCTGCCTTTCAAATAAATAAATAAATCATAAAAAATAAAAAAAGAATTTCAGTTTTGCAAGATGATAAAGTTGCGGAGATGTATTTCACAACAAAAACATATATAGAACATCACTGCACTGTACATTTAAAATTGTTATGACATTAAATTTTGTGATACATGATTTTTACCATAATAAAAAAGAAATATGGAGCTAGAGTACGCAATTGGCATCAGCCTCAAAGATTTTTTTTTTTTTTTTTGAAGAGGTAGAAGATTTTTTTCAAATTGAAATCCCTGTATGTAGTCTTTTCTTTCCTTTTAGGGGAATTCAAGACTCACAAGTGCAGAACCACCACATCCATGAGGCTTCTTGTTATCTCATCCCTTACTTCATTAATTCCTACCAAGCAGCAGTGTAGCCTGCATGACATTTGAATTCCAACCCAGGTTTCTCCACCTTTTAACTCTGGACCTTGATTAAGTTATTTAAATTCCCTAAAGCACTGTTTAGTCTTTTATAAAATGAGGATGACATACTTCATATTAAAATTTATTTCTCTTAGGACTAAACAAGTGAAATATATAAGACTTATAAAACAGCATCCCACATGAGCTGCAAGTACACAATACATGCTGGTTACTATCTTGAATTCATCTGTTATCTACAATATTAAACTTGATCATACTTATACTTCATTAATACTCTTGATTTGATTGGTATTCTTTGCCTGCAAAGACATGTAATATTCCTTTATATTCGTCCTATAAATTATTTTTCTGATAAACCCACAGAGCACTTAACAAAAAGTAAGCAGAGTTTTATTAATAAAGATATGGATAGAATTTGGAGAATGATGATTTTACCTGCAGCACTAAAGTCTAAAGTCCTAGAACACAGGCCCCAGTAATTACCACAGATCACAGAGTTGCCATGGACTATGATGTATGGGCTTAGGCAAAGCCCTTTCTCTTCCTAAGCTTTATGTTGTCATCTGTAAGCAGGGATGATAACAATGTCTACCTAATAAGGTTTTCTGTAGAATGAAGAGTGATTATGCAAAAAAGATTTTAGAACAGTGTCTGGCAATAAATATTTAATTAGTTACCTGTTGGATGGAGAATAATCGAAATTTGAGCCTAAAATAGCAAAAGCATTTCATGGCTTGGATCAAGGAGAAAGGGTTGTTCTAAGCTACATTTTCATTAGTTTCATTTACTGTGCAATCTGAAAAACACAACTCTCAAAATGCAGAAATTAATATCCATTCCTACATCCAGTGAAGATCAGGAGTGGCCATTCCTGTCCTTGATATGAAAAGTTGTTTAGCACAGCTAATACCTAGGTTTGGGTATTTTAGATAGCATCTTCATAGTTAAGTGCTTAGCATTCTCCCTAACTTCGGTGAGTCTTTTCTCTCGCAAGCTATCCATGTTGAATTTTAAGTTAAGTGGATAAGGTCTGGGACTTACTTTAAATTCTGATGGTGAGATCTCTAAGGTAGAACCACAATTCCTGGGCAAGCAGAGAGATTTCATCTTCCAGAGTTTCTACAAGCACAGATGGAAAGGGGCTCATGGAAAGGCATGACCAGCTGCAGTTCCCCTAAATACATCTATCCAGTGCCAGCTCTCTCTTACCCTCTACCATTTAGCCACACCTATCACCTGAGAGCTGAAGAATATCTAGCACCTTAGAACCCTTGACCTGCCAGCACCGTGGCAATAGGCTAATCCTCCACCTTGCAGCGCTGGCACACCGGGTTCTAGTCCCGGTCGGGGCGCCGGATTCTGTCCCGGTTGCCCCTTTTCCAGGCCAGCTCTCTGCTGTGGCCAGGGAGTGCAGTGGAGGATGGCCCAAGTGCTTGGGCCCTGCACCCCATGGGAGACCAGGAAAAGCACCTGGCTCCTGGCTCCTGCCATCGGATCAGCGCGGTGCGCCGGCTGCAGCGGCGGCCATTGGAGGGTGAACCAACAGCAAAAGGAAGACCTTTCTCTCTGTCTCTCTCTCTCACTGTCCACTCTGCCTGTCTGGCGTATTTTACTTAGCCCTTGACCTGAGCACATATTCTTCAGGATTCCGGTGCAAAGCATCTTCCACACTGGACAACAACTTCAATGTTTAGTTTACTCTAGTCAAAGCTAGAATGATATTGCACTTCAACACAAAGGTTTTTTAATGTGCAATTAAAATAGGTACACACACACACATATAACACTCCAATTTAAACATCGTCACACAAATGTATGTTTCACCATTTCTTTGAATCTAAGAGCCACAGTTTTAGACTAACAACCAGATGTTCACAGCCTACTGTGAACACTTCCTCTCTGCATTTATAAATAGCACCCTGACCTCTTTTCCAACTGAATTTGAGGGCTTATTCCTATTGGTTCATAATTGGTGAAGTCTGTTTTTCTTATGAAAAGAAGGTATCTTAGCAAATATCACCTAAATGATTGCACTATTTATTTACATTCATTCTATCAATAAATACTTAAGGAGTACTATTCTCTCCAAAATAACAATAGGAAATATTTGCAGTTCAAGATAACAGCATCTATTATCTGATTTGAGAACAGTGCTAAGGCCTACAAAGAAAATGAGGATCCAATGTCTGCTCACAAGAGTATAAAATAAAGAGGCAGGTTAGACCTGAGCACACGCAAAGGAAAACAACATACATATCAGCAAACAGTCCTTATTAGGTAAGTGCCAGTAAAGAAAAAAATACAAAAAAAAAAGGAAAAATATGAAACCAAAAAAAGCAAAAAAAAATTGTGACTTTTGACATATACATGTTTTACATTGTAATACAGCTTTATTTTTAACTACACAGGTAAGCTACCCCATCATTCTTCATGGGTGCTTAGAAACTAAAAATCTCAAATCAGTTCCATGAATATACTGAAATACCTGCAATCAGAGTTCTGCAATGGAGGGGCCAGTGAAGGAGCTACAGAAGGTCTCAAAATGTGTAAGAACTGTAGCAGGTGGAGCCATCAGCACCTACAGTCAAAGGAATACATTAGAGGGAACTGACGTGGAGGGAGAAGGTGTTTTGAGACAATAAGGAAGCAGAGTGCCTGCAACAGACCCAAGGTCCAACGAGCAATGACAGATGATGACAGAATGGCAGGCTGCAGCTGGCTGACCAGGGCCCTGACCAGCAGGCCAAGGAATCCACACTTCAGGATACTTTGAGTCTCCTCAAACCGTCTCCTTGTCACCACGTGAAGGGCCCAAACTGCCTCATAACTTCATGGACGCCACACTTCTCTTCTGCCCTTCCCTGATCACCTCTCACCTCAAAACAGATCAAATCATCCTCTCCTCCCCCAAAAGCTAAGTACTGTAACAAGCATAGTCATTATTGGTGAGAACAGTCAAGGTAGACACACTGTCTAATCAACCCTCCCTGAGTATCCTCACCTACCCACAAATCTCTGTATACAAATGGTCCAAGATGGAAAAATACTTCTTCCCATCTCTCCTCCCAAAAATGACTGCCTAACCCAAGTCAGGATTTCTTCATTCCCTCCGAAGCATGGGTAATGTCAGCTAACCCTCAGTCACAACTAACAAAATTTTGCAGGCCAAATTTCTAACTAGAAAGGATTATGTGTATTCTTTCAATTGAGAAAAGAGATTATCAAGCAAAATGGATTAACTATCATTATTTAGCTAATGCAGACAGTACTTTAAAACACACAACTTAAATGATAAACTACAAGGTCCAGAACGTTGCACAAGTAAAAATTAATAGGACATCTCATAAACTATAGTCTTGCATGCACCAGGTTTGATCAAAGCTAAGACATATTTCCAACACCATTAAGAACTTCTCTACGTAAATAATATTTTACAGAGAATTCCAAAAATCCCGATTGTTTAGCATGCAAAGGTTGGGCTCTATAAATGAGTCAATAAATGGGGGGAATTAAAAGCTGTTAAGTGGATGACCATACGCTTGGCATTTTTATAGAGACTTTCACTAAATGGTGTCCAGAGCTGAAAGAGGTAGGTTAGAAAGTCACAAAACAAAACTTCCTCCTCTGATATCCTAAAAGCTATAACCCACAATCCTAAGCGGGTTATAAAACATCACAATTTCAATGTGAGAATACAAAGTTTCTTAAGAAAATTGCAATTCTTTATACTCGGAGTTTTATGCTTAACCACAGTAGGCCAGAGCAGTTGAATCATTTACTGAATACTCATGAGCACATGGCCAGCAACTTGTAGTGATATCAGAAAAAGAATTTATTTTAAAATGTATCATCAGCTTCTCTTTCCACAGACAACACCTATAAAACCTGACATGCTTACACAGGAAGGAAAAAACACAAACACATGCACACCCACTAAGTTTTAACAAGCCATTGAACTTACCCTCTAGGTACATTTTAATTTAAATCTTTGGGTGCTTGCAAACCCTGACTATATAAAGCTTTCTTGGTGTTAGCACCTATTTGAATATGAGTGTGTTAAAAATCTGTATGGTGAGCAGCCAGGGAGAGATTTCCACTTTAGGTTCTAGCCTAGTTCCATGACCCACTTTTTTTTCTTTTTAAAACATTGTGAAATAGTGGAATGTCACAAGAAATTTCCCTCATTTCTCTTGTAAGTTGGAGGAAAATAATGAATAAAAATTTAGGAGTTTATTTTTTTCTCTATTTAAAAAAAAGTTAGTTTCCTTTAAAAAAAAATAAACCTGAACTTCTAATCACTTCTAATCATTTATGGGCAATGTTCCACAAACTCCGGGTGTACTGGGCTTAAGTGCAGAGAAATCAATACTGAGCTTGTAAGTACAATACTATTATTGGTAATAACAATGACATCCGATTAAATGTACTTTTAAAAATAGCTTATTTTCAATACACTTAAAAAAGAAAAGAAAAAACCAAAGGATATAGCCCAGTGAGTAGTCTGCTTCAAGGACAACGTTGAAAAAAAAAAAAAAAAGCTGCTATCACCATACAAACTTGCAACAGCCCAAAATGTCACTAATCCAAACAAACCAGCTTTTCATTCTCTTGTATTTTTCTCCCATTATCAAAGGTTATGGTTCACCATCCAACATTACAAAGCCCTCTCTCCCAAACCAAAACCACCCGTACCTCCGCAAGGAGGTGGGGACGAGTGTTTAAGAAAACTGGCCACAAGGAATGAAAATAAAACTTACTTTACTAAATAAGGCGGACACCAATTCTCCCAAGAGAACTGTCTCCCAAAGTAAAGGCGGTATTCACCGCGGACAGGTTCCCGCGTATGGTGCGGGATTCGGGCAGGTGGAGGCCAAATGGTAGTAATTAAAGTTAATTAACAGGCCTGTCGTCTTAAAGTGCATAACAAGCAGGGTGCAGGGTGCACGGAGAGCAGAGCGAAGTCATTATCTCCACCAAGTAAATAACTTGGTGCCTGAAACTCGCTACGGCTCCTTTATTACTTGGTGGGGTGGGGTGGAAAGCAATGCAGGGGTGTCTAGTTGTCGATCCGGATTGTCACCCTTCGGGGTCAAATCCCAGAAGTGAGTTGAGTTTCTGTTATCACTCCCCGGCTTCTGGTTTCCTTTTAGCCGCCCACACGCGGGAGCGAAATCCAAGGGGCAGAAACGAGAGCCCAGCACTTAGCGCGCTGGAAAATTCACCCACAGACGTAACCGAAAAGCCCCAGCCCATCCCCTCAGCCCCGGGCCCCGCCACGCCGGCCCTGCCCACCCGTGGCCCCGGGTACTCGCCTCGCGCGCGGCCGCCGAGCTGGGAGAGCGAGGCCAGGCAGCGTTGGGGAGCCCCGGCGCCGGCGTCTCTGCCCGCCTGCCTGCCCGCCGCGGCCGCTGGCTCCTCGCCCGTGTGCTTCCCCCCCGACACCCCCGGCACGGGCCTCCTCCGTCCGGGTCCCCGCTGGCTGCCCGCAGCCGCGTCTGCTGCCGAGAGGCGGCCGCGCGGGCGGCGCTGTTTCGCGGGGCCGCCCGCCGCACCTGGAGGCGGGGAGCGCGGGCCGCGAACCCGCGCGCAGCTCCGGAAGCGTCGCGCCAGGCGGCGCCTGGCCCAGGTGCTCCCTCGCCGCGCCTCAGCCGCTTCCTCTGGGCCGGCGGGGGCGGGGAGCCGGCGCTAGGCGCGGGGGCAGCCGGAGCTTAGCGACGGGGTCGGCCGAGCCGGCAGCCCTGGTTCCGCAGCATAGTTGGGCGACTGACTCAGTCCGCCGCGGCTTGGCCGCGCCTGGCACCCGGGCCACCTGGCGCACCTCGGCCCCGAGGCGCACGGAGGGCGCGCCCCCGAGCGCACCGCGGCCCGAGCCTGACCCACCCTCGTGGGAGGAACGCGTCCCCAGCCGCCCCTGGCCAGTAGCTTTGTGCCCAGCAATGGGGGGATTGATTGATTGTCAAATGGGTGGAACCTCGCCACCACTGGTTATTAGGCTTGCACTACTGGGTACTTTTCCTGTTACCGCAACCTTTCCCAAACTTAAAGACTCATCTAGGGCGCTGATTTCCTCAGGCCGCTTTCCTGCATTTGCATTCAATGGGCCAGGGACCTGTATCCTTAACAACCCTGGGTGAGTAGCTTGAGCCCATTATGTGAGATCCTGCCTCAGGTCAGCCCTGTGAGGAGATCAGTATCCCCATTTTCTAGTTGAGAAGTCTTTTTATTAAAGAGTTCAGCTTATGACCAAGTGGCCATGATCTGGGGGTGGGGGAGGCGGTGAATTTCAGTTTAGATCTGAATTCTTTGCTGTGTTTCGAATTTCACCTCTGTTTATCCGCTGGGAGGGGTCGGGAGAACCCCCGTGGTCTAGTCTTTCTTGCGCCTGAAGTGGTAGGATCCTGACCGTTCTCCTTTGAGCTGCACTTTGATGCCCTACTCCCAGAGGTGAAGAGGAAGCGAAGGAAAATATGTTCCTCCAAAACCCTTGGGGACCGCAAAGACTTAAGAGTCCTTAAGTCCCAGTTGTTTTTTAAATGAGTTCTTGGGCCAGGTCCTTGTTTTTATTTCATTATTTATTTATTTATTTTTTTTAATAAACATGTCTCCACAGACTGCACCTGAAATTCTCTTCCCTAAAAGGTGAAATATACCTCGCTTTTCTCCCGGTACCTGTTGATGGAAGTAAAGCAATTAGGGAAAGTGGAGCCCTTATTATGAAAATGAGATAATTGGTGAAGTCCAAAGTGTGGGTGTCTTCCCAGGAGCCCTGGCCCTTGGCAACCTTCAAGTCTGCACCTAAGGCCAAACTGCCTGCCCACCGGAAGGCGCCATCCTTTCCTGGGAGACTAGGACCTGCCACAGAGACCGTAAACCTCCAGTCCTTTTGAAGTAGGTACTCCATAGCCAGCCCTATTTTCACTGGAAAAGTTTTCTTGCCTTTTTTTTTTTTCAAACTTCAAAAATTATATTTTCCTTTGGATTCCTATCATGTTGAAGCAGAAATTTTCCTTATGATTGTTTGCTGGCTTGAGGCTTCTTAGTTCACACTCCTTCCACTCTCCACCCCCAACCAGGAGTTCTCGCATATTTCTCATTTATTTTTATCTTTGTAAGCCGTTTTCAATCCCTCTCTGAACAAGGTAGGTTATCAATTTTTAAAAATCCTGGCATCGGTTATGGTACATCTTGCAGATTGGGAATTACTTTGTCCTCAAGTTACTTCTCTTGGTAGATTTCATAATCTCATTGGGACTTGGTGCCTCTTTGCAACAATATCATTAGTGTATTGATGGTTATTGAGTCATTTATTGTTTAAAACCTTTATTGATCATTATTTGGTAAGTGGAAGATACAGTTGGCAGATACAATACCCATACAATCTCTGGATTTAGTATTCTCTAAAGGGAAATAAAGTTAACAGCTGTAAGGGACAATGATGTAAAAATAGCTCTGAGAAGTAAAAGAAAATCAGTGCTCCCTGATTGCCTGTGTAGATTAGTTACAAGATATATTCTGGTTTTATGAATCTTAATAATAGAGAGAAATAATACATATTGGAAGAAATATGGCAAAACTTCCTTTTATTAATTTCTCATTAAGCACCCTGCCAAATACCTAATATATGTGCTGTATGTACCTAGCAACTCTCTGAATTGAAATTCTTCTTCCAATTTTTTTTAAATATAGGCTTAATTGAAATATAAAGAACTTAAATAGTACATGGTAGACAAATTGAAGACATCAAGGCTGTATTTATAGGGAATACATTGCTTATTTAGCAACCTTCACAGTGAGACAATAAGATGAAGGAAAATTCACTTCCTAAGAATTACTGCAAAGGCTACTGAAGTACATATTCTTAGCTTCCATCCAGGCTGGAAATAGTCCAAGATGACTGGCTCCCACTCCTGTATTCTAGATTTTTAATAAGGCCGCAGATAGTCTTTGCCTGTCTTTGTGCCTTTGCTGCTCACATCCCTTGTACCCAGAGAGCATCCCTGGCACTCTGCTGATGAAAGAGGTAATTAGAAAGAGTGGAAATCTCCCTCATCTCCTCCTTCCTCTCTGTTCTCCTCTCTGCCCCTTTTCTTCTTCCTCCTTTTCCTTACCTCACAGAGGTTAACACCCATTGAGCACTTACGTGTGCCTTGCTGTTCCAAGCACTTAACTTGTAGGAGCTCATTTAATTCCCTTAAAAGCTTCTCAAAGAAATAATGTTATTATCCCCCTGATAAGAGAACTTAGGAAAAGGAGGTTGAGTAACTCGCATAAGTCAGCCAATTAAGGCCACAAGGGAAGAAGAATCCTTACCGCATCTTCTCCAGAGTACGGCTTCTACCCTGGATTGTCCCTTAGGGAAACTACACGATGCTAGGCTTTAGAAGGCCTGCACTCAGCATGGACCCAGCTCCTATAACAGGGCAATTTGAACAACTTGGTAACTTATCTGAGACTTAGTTTCCCCACGTGTAAAATAGGAGTCATATATTTATGAGAATTTAATGTCTTTAAATATGTAAGCCACCCAAAAAATGGTAATCCCTCAATGCATTTAATTCTATTCTCTTTTCTCCAATTATTCTTCAAGATTGGGTTCAAGTCCTACCTACATCTTAAACCTTTCCATATCTCTCATAATTATTTATACAGTAGAATTAAGTAATTTCTTTATTTTCTCTAAAAAAGCTAATATTATTTTTGCCAGATATATCACAGAGGTAGATTAAATAGGAAAATGTTTACTTAAAGTTTAATTCATGTTTAGATATTCATAAAAATAAAATTATATATTTGGAAATACTTTTCCTTTATTTTATTTATTTATTTAAATAGGGACAAAAGGAGAGCTCTCCCATCCACTGTTTCATTCTCCAAATGCCCATAACAGCCCAGGATGGCCCAGACTGAAGTCAGAAGCCAGAAATTCAATCCAGGTCTCACATGTGAGTAACAGGGACCTAAGTACTTGAGCTGTCCCCTGCTGTCTGCCAGGGTGTGCATCAGCAGGGAGCTGGAATGGTGAGCAGAACTTGGATTCCAACCCAAGGACTCCAATATGTGGTTTGGACATCTCAAGCAGTGGCATAACCCTCAGTACCAAATACCCACTACTGAGTCATATTTTAGGAAATTTAACATGTAACTTTGATGTCCATGAGGTATTAAACTGTGCCTTCAGCATTTAGATTATATTTTGAATCACCTGTCACTTATTTTTTGTTTTTCTTAGAACCTTAACTCACCCCTGCCTTTCAATCCTGCTCCTCAAGAGAAAGTGCTCACACAGAGATTTTTATCTCAGGCTATACTTTCTGAGGAACTATGACTAAAAGACATTTCTTTTTCCTGTCATGTTCATTTGTTCATTAGCCATTCTAAATGTTGGATGTAAGCATTTTTAAAATTTTTCCTAGAAGACAGTAAATTCTCTTTAAATTTATTTTTAATGTTGCAAAAATTTGACATATATATATTTATGTATCACATATAGCATGTTTTGAAATATTATACATTGCACAGTGGGTAAATTGAGTTAATACATACATTTATTCACATTCTTAGTTAACTGTGTGAGCACTTAAAATCTATTCTTTTCAAAAATGCAGAACATTGCTGCTAACCATAGTCACCATGTTGTACAACAGATCTCTTGAAATTACTCATTTTATCTAACAGAAATTTTGCATACTTTGACCAACATCTCCACTCCTCACCTCCCATCAACCCCTCATAAAAACCATTCTAGTCTCTATTTTATGAGTTCAACTTTTTAAAAAAAATCCATACGTAAGTATAATTGTGCATTGTTTTTCTTTTATACTTAGATTACTTTACATGGAATAATGTCTTCTAGCTTCATCGGTGTTGTCACAAATGAAAGGGTTCCCTTTTTTATTAAAGCTGATACATATTCCAATGTGTATAATAACACATTTTCTTTATCCATTCATCCATCAGTGAATACCTAGACTTATTTAATATCATAGCTGTTGTGAATAATGCTGGAAAGAACATGGGAGTGTAGATAGCTGTTTGACAAAGTGAATTCATTTATATACCCAGGAGTGGGATTGCTGGATCAGATGGCAGATCTATTTTTAAGTTTTCTAAGGTTCTTCCACCGTGATTATTTTAGTTTGCATTTTCATAACAGTGCATAATGATTCCATTTTCTTCACATCTTCTCCAATGCTTATCTTTTGTCTTTTTTTATAATAGTTCTAACAGGTGCTATCTCATTGTAGTTTTAATTTGCATTTTTCTGATGATTAGTAATGTTGAACATTTTTCCTGTACTTCTTAGCCATTTGTACATATTTTAAGAAATATATATTGAGATGTTTTGCCTGTTTTTAACTAGGTTCTTTGTTTTTCTCACTATTAACTGTTTCAGTTCCTTATATATTTTGGATAATAACTTTTTTTGTATGTATGATATGCAAGAAAATCCAAATATTCTCTAGATTTTCTGTACTCTGTTGATTGTTTCATTTGTTGGGCATAATTTTTTACTTTGATATAATCTCATTTGTCTATTTTTGCTTTTTTGACTTTGCTTTTGGGATCATATCCAAAAGATTACTGACAGGGCCAACAGTGTGGCACAGCAGATTAAGCCACTGCTTGCAGAGCTGACTTCTCCATATCAGAGCTCCACTTCCAATCTAGTTCCTTGCTGGTGGGCCTTGGAAGAGCACTAAATGATGACTTAGATGCTGGGTACCCTGCAACCCATGGTAGGCCCAGTTGGTGATGCAGCTCCTGGCTTCAGCCTGGTCTAGCCCTGGCCATTACAGCCATTTGGGGAGTGAACCAGCAGATAGAAGATTCTGTGTGTGTGTGTGTGTGTGTGTGTGTCTACTTATTTCTATATCACCCTGCCTCTCAAATAAATAAATGTATCTTTAAAATAAAGATAAAACTGGGGCCTGCACTGTGGCATAGCGGGTTAACCGCTGCCTGCAGTGCCAGCATTGCATATGGACGTCAGTTTGAGTCCCGGCTGCTCTACTTCTGATCCAACTCTCTGTTATAGCTTGGGAAAGCAGTAGAAAATGGCCCAAGTCCTTGGGTCCCTGAATCTGTGTGGGAGACCTGGAGGAAGTTCCTGGCTCCTGGCTTTGGATTGGTGTGCAGCTCCGGCTGTTGCAGCCATCTGGGGAGTGAGCTAGCAAATGGAAGACCTAATTCTCTTTCTCTCTCTCTCTCTCTCTCTCTCTGTGTGTGTGTGTGTGTGTGTGTGTCTGCCTCTCTAACTTTCCAATAAATAAATAAATCATTAAAAAATAAATAAAGATAAAGCAAAGACCAAATGTCATAGAGGAGCTTCACTATTATGTTTTCTTGTAGTTTTAACATTTCTGGCCTTACATTTATAGACATCTTTAATCTGTTTTGAACTATTTTTGTATTTGTTGTGAAAATAAGGTAATTTCATTCTTCTGCATGAAGATATCCAGTTGTCCCAACAACATTTAATGAAAAGGCTGTCCTTTCCCCATTGTGTGTTCTAGGAGACTTTGTAGAAAATCAGTCGCCCATAAATACGTGGATTTATTTCTGGACTCTCTATTCCATTTTATTGATTTATATATCTGTTTTTATGTGAGGAGCATGCTGTTTGATTAGTGTAGCTTTGTAGTATATTTTGAACCCAGGCACTGTGATGCTTCTAGCTTTATTGTCTCTGCTGTCATCTGGTTTTTATTGTTATTTTATAGCTGATTGTTTTCACTCTGAATTTTTGGAGACATGTAAATTTCTGGATACCTTCATGATTCTGTCACTACAAATTTTATTACAAACCACAGTTTCCCGTTTTCTATTACAAGAATGGTTTTCTTGGCCAGCGCCATGGCTCACTAGGCTAATCCTACGCCTGTGGCGCCAGCACCCCGGGTTCTAGTTCCGTTCCTGGCGCTGGATTCTGTCACGGTTGCTCCTCTTCCAGTCCAGCTTTCTGCTGTGGCCTGGGAGGGCAGTGGAGGATGGCCCAAGTGCTTGGGCCCTGCACCTGCATGGGAGACCAGGAGGAGGTGCCTGGCTCCTGGCTTCAGATTGGCGCAGTGTGCCAGCTGTAGCAGATATTTGGGGGGTGAACCAACGGAAGGAAGACCTTTCTCTCTGTCTCTCTCTCTCCCACTATCTAACTCTGCCTGTCAAAAAATAAAAATTAAAAAAAAAAGAATGGTTTTCTCATTCATAGTATAAATGTGTGCATTAATGATTTCTGCCAACTTTTAAATGGCTTTATTTTAATTTTTGTTCATTTTATTTGAAAGGCAGAGAGACAGCTAAAGAGAAACCGTTCTACACACTGGTTCACTCCCCAATGTGCCTGCAGCAGCCAGGGCTGAGCAATGCTGAAGCCAGGAGTCAGGATCTCAATTCAGTTCTCCCAAGTTGTATCAAGGACACAATTACTGGAGCCAGGACTCAAACCCAGGAACTCCTACATAGAATATAGGCATCCTAACAGCAGCTTAATGGCTGGGCTCAATGTTTGCTCCCTTTTTAATGACTTTTAAAGCATGCTTACACTAGCAAATAACACTTAAATGTTGAAGTCATGCCCACATAAATGATTTTTAATGTTTTTGCCTCCTTATTTTTAAAATGATTTTTGTTAGAAGACCTCTCTATATATCCAAACCCAAGACTGCTATAGCCTGGGAAAACAGTGGAAGGTGGCCCAAGTCCTTGGGCCCCTGCACCTGTGTGGGAGACCTGGAAGAGGCTCCTGGCTCCTGGCTCCTGGCTTCGGATTAGCACATCTCCTGCCGTTGCGGCCAGTTGGGGAGTGAACCAATGGATGAAAGACCTCTCTCTCTTTCTCTCTGCCTCTCCTTCTCTCTGTGTAACTCTGACTTTCAAGAAAATAAATAAATATTTTTTAAAAAAAAAAGTTTTAACTCTTGTTCTCTTGAGAGAACCCTTTAGTGAATGGTACCACAGGTTACCTTAGTCATAGCAACACTACAAATATTCAACCAATTCAATTATTGTGAAAATAATAATTTATTTTAAATGTTTTTCAAAAGATATTAAATAGTACCAAGAAAAGAGCAAATATAATTTTTCATATAAAACTGTTATTTCAGAAACCCATTTTGGAAATAGAGATAAGACTAATTCTTTGATGTTAACAAGTTTATAAATTTTAATATTTCTGAAATGATACTCTTTTTTAAAGAGAGAGATCTTCCATCTGGTGGTTCATTCTTCAAATGGCCGCAACGGCCAGGGCTGGGCCCAGCTGAAGCCAGGACCCAGAAGCTTCTTCCAGGTCTTCCACATGGGTTCATGGGCCCAAGTGCTTGAATCATCTTCAGCAGGTAGCCTGATTGGAAGTGGAGCAGCCAGGACTTGAACTGGCAGCACTGCAGGTGGAACCTTAACCTTCTATGCCACAGCACTGGCTCTGGAGATAAATCTTAATTCTAAGTGTTCAGAGTGTTTTTTTTTTTTTTTCTCAGTAGTGTAGAAAATATTATATTTTTGAGTTGCTGAAATCGATCAGTTTTTGTCATTGCCAACATAAATATCTAATTTTATTTTTCTGTGGTCAAAAGTGCAAGGAAAATCATGGCTAATAGAAACTCTAGAAAAATCAACTGCTTGTTGGCTTTGCATATGAAAGAGGAGGGGTCTTTGAAAAGGTCCCCAGGAAATGGCAAATAGCATATTATGATAGCATATTATGAAAACACTATGTGTGGATTTCAAAATATTTTTGTCCTGGGGCTTGTGGTGGTGTATAGCAGGGAAAGCCACTGCCTACAAATGCCAGCATCTCATGTGAGTAATGGTTAACATCCCAGCTGCTCCTCTTCTGATTCAGCTTCTTGCTGATGGCCTGAGAAAAGCAGCAGAAAATGTCCCAAGTGTTGGGGCCCTGCTACCCATTAAGGAGAGCCAGTTGAACCTCCTGGTTCCTGGCTTTGTTCTGGCCCAGTGCTGACCATTGCAGCCATCTGGAGAGTGTGCAAGCAGATGAAGATCTCAATCTCTCTCTCCTTCTCTCTCGCTTTCTCCCTCTCTCTCTCTGTTTCTCCCTGTCTTAGTGACTCTGACTTTCAAAATTATTTTAAAAAAAATTCCACCAAAATAAGAGTGTTGGTTAATCCTATTATTTCCTGAAAATTTCAAAGTCTCCCTATACATCTACTGGGTGTAAGAACATTGTTCCCACTTTGATATGTCAGTTCTTCTTCTTATTCATTTTTATGTGTTTGAGAGACAGAGATGAGGAAAAACACCCATTGACTGGTTCACTTCCCAAAGGCCAGCAATGGTCCCCAGGGCCTGGACCAACGCCAGGAGTCAGGAACCCAATTGTTGTCACTCACGTGGATGGCAGGGATTTTACTACTGAGCCAACACTTGCTGCTTCCCTGAGTGAGCATTGATACAAAGCTGGAATTGGGAGTGAAGCCAGAACTCAGATCCAGACACATCAATATCGAACGTGGGTCCCAACCACTAGGCCAAATACTTGCCCTCTCCCATGTGTTTCTGTAATTGAGTTTACTAAATACATCCAAAATTCTATGATTCTGTGCTGTAACCAAAACAAAGCACTGTGTATCTCTATTCTTTGCTTTTTTCTTTAAAAACTATATTTATAATAGGTAATTAACTTTGAAATATCTTCTGACATCAAGAAAAAAGAGGGAGGGATTTAAAGAAGCCAAACATTGCAAGGTAGAAATACAAAAGCAACAGCTAGAAATAGATTTCTCATGAAGCAATGAAATTAAACTGTTAAAAAATAGCTCTTGCTTGAATGGAACAGAGCATTATCACTGTAAATGGCTAATGAAAAAGAAGAAAAGGATTAATATAACCTCATACCACAAGACAACTTATCAAAAAAGCAGAGGTCAGAAACTAGCTGCCTGTGGGTAGCATGAAGGCAGGAAGTCCACAGTATGTCCCAGACCACAGAGAGTTCTGCAATTCTTATTAGTCACTGAAATGTAGATTTTACATTAAAATGAGATTTTTTTAGCTTCTCTGTAAAACAATCAGAAAGTCTTAAAGTACTTCCCTGACACTCATGCAAAACATGTCTAAATGGATTGGAAAGTTAGCAGTCCTTCTTTTCTTCTGTTTGCTACAGTCCCTACTTACCCGTTTCTCCTTGAGGTTATGACTCAGGTGCTGTGGTGTGGAAGTTACAACTTTGAGATAGGACCTGAAATTAGGATGAGATTAAGGACAATCGAGGTGGGGGCAGGCAGTGCCTTGGCATAGCAAGTAAAGCTGCCACCTGCAGTGCCAGCATCCCATATGAGTGCCGGTTCCAGTCCCGGCTGCTCTACTTCAGATCCAGCTTTCTGCTATGGCCTGGGAAATCAGTAGAAGAAGGCTCAAGTCTTTGGGCTCCTGTACCCATGTGCGAGACCCAGAAGAAGCTCCTGGCTCCTGGCTTCAGCCTGGCCCAGCCTTGGCCAGTTCAGCCAACTGGAGAGTGAACTAGCAGATGGAAGACCTCTCTCTGCCTCTCTTTCTTTCTCTGCCCAACTCTGACTTTCAAATAAATAAATAAATCTTAAAAAAAAAAAAAGACAATCTCTATGGGTGGCCCTTGGGGTAAGTTTATGGATTTCTAAAATGGAAATCTTAAGGACGTGCCTTTTGGTTTGCAGTTCAGCACTGAGGAGAGAGTGGATGATGGCCCAGGTACTTCCGTTGCTGCCACCCATGTAGGAGACCCAGAAAGAATTCCTGGCTCCTGGCTTCCACCTGGCCCAACCCTGGCTGCTGTGGGCGTTTGGTGAGTTTACCAGTAGATGGAAGATCTCGGTTTTTCTCTCTGTCTCTCCCTCTGTCTCTGCCACTCTGCCTTTGAATACCTAAAAAAAATAAATCTTTAAAATGGGAGTCTTAAAGAGCAGAACAGATCTAAATTTAGTAACCAACATGTTAGGACTATTTAGCAACAGCAGCAGTATGCTCATCACAATAGCTACTCAAGCATCTGTTGAGTTCTTAAAATAAGTCAAATAACACATTAACACATTACAGATGTTATTCATGCTAATTCATTCAGATAATTTTGTACATGTTAAGATGTTAAGATGCGAACAACCAGCAGAGACATGGAAAGAAGCAAAATAGTCCTACTTCACTGTATTCTTATCACTTACAGTATGACAGTAGAAGCAGATATGACTCAAACAATCATGCAAATTTATTATCTGTGTGTTTACATATATGTGTTCTATGTATTCACACACTACATACAGCATACTACATATATAATACTATTGTACAGATAAACAGAGTACACATATTCCATAGTGTATCCATGTATACATACATATGTACTTTATATTTACATGGGCATAAATTACATAATTGTGTTTAAATAATACGAGTTTGCTGATGGTTATCTATTTCTAACCACAGTAATTGTCACTGCATGTGACTCCAATTAATACAGTTTTGAGAATGGAGAATGGAGGAAATGCTTTTCTCCGTCTCCTAGCCTTTTGTTCATGTGGAGGTAGTTTCTAATCCTCCTGGCATCTTGTTGTAGCACCATCCCCACTCCACACATTGTGCCCTTTGGTGGCAAGTGCCTAATCTATTTAGTGTCTTTGGGAGGAGGCACTGGCCACATCAACCCTGCTCCTTCATCCTCCCTTACTCTTCGTGGAGGTTCCACAGGGAAGCCAAAATCCCATGTTACTCTTCTAAGCTATAAGAATTGTGGGAAGCTTCAACCTGTCCAAAGCTTCCAGAGCCTAGCATGTTTTCTAAAAGTGATATTTAATTCATCATCTGTCTGATTCCTTTTTTTTCATTCATTCAAAATCAGGTACCCCAGCAGTTGTGGTATTAGGAACAAACAACATTCTGTGCTATAGCAAGCAGAGAAAGGGCAATTTTTCATTGGCCAATCAGAAAAATCCTTTGTAAAGAAGAGATATTTGCACTGAGAACAGAGTGCTGAGTGGGAGTGAGCTCTGTGTACTGTGAATAGGGTGGGGCAGGGGAGGGACTGGAAGGGCTGAGATTTATTCCAACCTAAGAAAAGCATTTGTGAAATCTCAGAGGCACAAAAAAACAGGAATTATAGAAGGACTGAAAGAAGGTCTTTTGGCCATACTGTGGATCAAATAGAGTAGAACAAGATGGAGTTGGTCAGACAGGTGGCTATATCACATAGATTCATATAGACTATACTGAGGTTTGGGGTTTTTTCAGAAAGGCAATGGAAAATCATTGAAGGAATATAAGAGGAGAGAACTTAAAGCATTTTAGTTATGTATTTTATACAATTTCCAAACAACCCTTGATGAAACATACTATTATTATGGCCATATTCCAGATGAATAAGTTGAGATTCAGAAAGATTAAATTGCAAATATATTATTTGATAGCAAATAATGATAATTCCCAAGGCTGTCCTTTCACCCACTCTACTGTTCTACGTATTCAAAAGAAGTCCACAATGTAATCTGTAGAAATTCTGTGACATCTGTACATTTGCAGACTGTGACTTACAAATAATATATGTGAGCAAAATTCATCAGGTTTTAAGGTGTTCACAAGTTTTTTTTTTTTTTTTTAATTATTCAACACCTCTGCATTTAGGTAAATAGAAGAGACAGTGCTGTGAATTCATCCTATCAGATTCTACAGTATAATTCTAATACTTTATGGAGGATTTAATTTGTTCAATGTGAACTGCCTATTTTGTAACACAGAAATGAATTCAGTATTGTTCCCAAACCAAAGAATTAAAAATAGATTTGGAGGAAAAGGAAAAGAGGATAAGAATGTCTCAGCACATCATGAAAAAGTTTTGGTAGATTTGAGAGTGAAGACACTAATCAAGTTACTTTGCATCTAAAAGAGAAATTAACACATAATTTAAAAATTCATCATTGACTTCATAACAAGTTTGTACACTAGTTACTAGTAACTTGTATGTCAGAAATGTCTGGTATTCTTACTCAGAAAGTTTCATATATCCTGTTTCTTTGAACAACTAGTCTTAAGTTTCTTTAAAACACATTTTGTAGACAATACATATGCCATTTGATTATTTTTCTTTGTGTGAAGTATGACATACCAACTCGGTTATGCTGAATAGCAGGTGCACCTACTTTCAAAGGCCTAACACAAGTTTGCATTTCCTTCGCTCTACATGGCTTTGGTAGCATCCTGTGTAATGGTTTTATATTTTTTCCTGTGGAAACTCTCATACCCACATTACTTCAACTGCAATCTGCTTTAGCAATCAGAAAACATGGTGTCTGCCCAGTAGATTTAGCAAGCATTTTAAGGAAACCGTGGTAGTCATGCTTGATTGAACTGTTCTTTCTTTCACTTGTAAAGGAACCACTGCTCATGAATTCATTCAGCCATGAATGCTTGGCTTTTGCAATACAGTTTCTAGGACACTAAAAAAGGAGATTTTTGTTTGTCATTCATTTCCAGAAAAGAGGAAAGTAAAACACCACAGAATCTGTCCCTTGTCTTCATGCTCTGGGTGGAGACAATTTTTACTAAAATAGAAAGAACAAACAACAAATCCAGTGTAATTCATTTAAGTATCTTCGTAAAGTGCAGAGTACATTTCAAATAAAAAGTGCAACATTTAAACACTTATCAGATGGGTAAATATTTTATTTAAACAGCATAAGTCAATAGGGAACAATTAAATATAGAGAACTTTAGTCGATCTTTGTCCTTTCCAAACTGTGCTTTTCAATCTTTGCTTCTGCCCTGAATGAAATATATGATGGGACTAGTAGATGTTCTGTCCTATGTTAGTGACCAGAACAGTCTAATTTGCATGATGAAAGGGTCTAAGCTGCTCTAGTACACGGGCTTACTCTATGCCAGTTTATTCAGTATAAATCTTACTGTCCTCAATCACTCTTGTCCCACAAGCCTGCTTCAGGTCTGAAATCTGCCTTATGGTGGTGGGGGAAATGGGAGGGGCTAGATGTTTTCTTACACGCCTATCTCCTCTCTCAATCACCAGCTACTGCAGCAAACCCCTCAGGGATCAGATCAAGGGGAAAAGGAGATTGAGAGGAAGGACAGTTTCTTACATAATGCAGCAATAAATCTGGCTCATTTTTTCTCTCCCCTCAATTTCCAGCACACCTACTAACCACTGCTGGACTTTGGCCTGCCTACTGCTCCTGAAATGCTGGGAATACTTCCACAGATGCAGCAGCTGTTGAAGTCCTCTTGGTCCACTTTTTGGAGTATTACATTTCCTCCTTAAATACACTTAGTGCCCCAGTTCTCGCATATCTTCTGCACTGTCTAGCAAAGTTTAGGATATACAACTGGTATTGATTTCATATGTGTGGATTGTTGTCCTACTTTCTTCAGAGTTGAACCTTAAACCTGCCTTACATGCTACATCTAACATGATCAAGAATAATAGATAAGAGCCTTTGGACTAATATATCATTTTGTAAATTGGAATTAAAAACAGAAATATCACTCTATCAGTAAGGCAGTCTTTCATTATTATAGGAATGTGTGCATGCATGTGTGTGTGGATAGCCATACTTACTAAATGCTATATATTTATTAATACTGGACTTATATTTATCAAATGCTACCCACATGCAAGTCCTGCACATAAACTACATTTCCTAATCCTCACAACTCTATGGATTAGATTCTATTAAGCGAGAGTACTTGGAAGTTGAAGAGTTTAAATAACTTGCCCTGTTACCTACTTTGTGAATGGCCGAGCTGGTGCTTAAACATAGTACTACTGTCAGATGCATAGACCTAGCTCATGGTAGTTATATATCAGGTCACCTCTGCATGGAACTGGAGTGTTGTTAGCTTAAGTAGTGACTGGAGGAGTCTATTAAAATGGCTTCTTGCATCCAAAGCTGAAGGTTTACTCGGATAACAGACTTTAACAGCAACTATCATCTCTGTGTTATTGATAGGAATCATTCATGGAATAAGGTGTGTCCCAGGTACAGGCCTGTACATGACCATAATGTTCTTATTAAACAATATGAGAAAGTAACATGATCCAAGTCTTCAAAATTCTCCATCCACTCACTCACACATATTTTTGCATATTTAATCAATAATACACAGTGATGTCCTGACTCAAATTTCTCCTGACACTTAATGAATTTTATAGCTTAGGTAGTTCTGATTTCTAGCAGTCTACCTATGCATTTTGGATTCTAATATAGATTCCTGCATCTATAAGCAGTGAGATTATTTCATTCATAACAGCTTTTGAGAAAAACAATGAGTTCAGTCAATAAAATGACCAGGCAGGTCATCCACAAGCCATGTTGTTATCATGGTGGGTTCTCAGCAAATGGATTTGCTCAGTAGGTTAGATAGTATGTTGAAGTCTTTAAAACACTAGAAGTTTTTTGGATTTTAGGTCTCTGTGATCTTAGTGGCAATGTTCATTTGAAGGGGAAAAAAAAAGAGGAATTGGGCCTGAGGAAGATCCTGAGAATGATCATTATTGTAATGCGTGTCCAATATGATTTTAATGCATATTAATATTTAATAAATATGTATTTAAGGAACAAGACATAGATCCAAGGGAGAACTTGATGGATAGTTCAGTCTGATGGGAAAATTATCTCTATAGAAAACCATGTAGATCTCCAACAACTCTATGTAAGCCACTAACAAAATTAGCATTTCAAAACTAGGGTTTCCTGCTAGGTCTACAGAATGCTATAGGAAAATAAGAGAAACTTGATTAAGTAAGCCTAGAAAATGCTTCAATCTATATTTTCTTCTGGAGATTTA